CTTGATTTATGCATGTAAATAGCTTTATTATAATTCATGGTGGGAATATTACAGATTATATGGAAACTGCAATGTAAGTAGAACAGAAAAGGAAAAACAAGAAAAAGGAGAAAAGATGAAAGAAAGAGGAGATAAAAGAGAGACAATGATAAAAAAATCTTCTGTACGCTCATATCCTAAAAAACGACGATAAACTCTGTTCTATTTAGTTTGTGGATTAAAAGGGCACTGAAACCTCTCGTCTTACAGTGTAGAGTACAGCATGTACTGATGACTGAATTATAGATGAACGATCAAGAATTGCCAAAACAATTGCCAAAAAAACTGTCAAAGTGGAATTTTTTTTAATTATTAAAATTATGCAGGGAGTTTTACAGATTATATGGACACTGCAATGTAAGTAGAACAGAAGAGGAAAAACAGAAAAGAATGGAGAAAAGATGAAAGAAAGAGGAGATAAAAGGGAGATAGTGATGAGACATTTTCAATCTGCTTCGTCACCTGCAAAGAAATGTAAAAAGAACAGCACAGCCAACAGACATGGTACAAGATATTCTATATAGTAACACCTAAATGCTATCGTTGAAGTAGTATTATTTAGTCTGACATATACTCTGTGTTACCTGAAGATAAGAGAGTGGGCTTTCTGTATTGAAGTGAATCTCTGAGTACCTGGAACAAAGCACCTGCAGTTGTTTGTGAGGGTGCACTTGTGCATGTAAAGTTTATCCATAGAGAAAATGCTCAATAGTGGTTGTGGAGAGCCAAAGAGGTGCCCCACCAGAGCACTGAGTCCAGCGCCGGGAGACCCAAAGCCCCAGACGCCCAAAGGGACCCCAAGCGTGAAGGCACCAAGGAGGGGCCAGCCCAAGAAATCCGACCCCCAGCCACTGCAATGCCGAAGCCGTCGGGAGACCGCAGGCCCCGCCGGCAGCCAGCCACCCTGAAGTAAACCCGGTCTTGGGCCCCAGGGATCCGAGGCCCCCGGGATGCCCCAGCCGAGCCCTGCGGAGAAGCCGCCAGGAATGGGCCAGTAGCCACCCGGGCATCCACCCCCAAACCCCGAGCTCCACCAGTGCACCGGCGAGCCCAGGCGCCAGCCAGTGGAGGGAGAGCAGGATGGGGGGAATGGGCTCCGCACTTGGCGGAGACTTGAAATGTGCTTGGTAAAGGGGAAAGTTCAGACACCAAGCTGGGAGAGAAAAAGAAAAAAAAAAAAAAACTCAGTCTCAATAATGCCTTGCCACCCTAGTGCCCCCACTCACACCACAAAAAAAAACAAAAAAACGCGGACGCACATTCACACTTAACACTCACCTCCAATAATCCCAGAACCAAGGACCCGGCGGCACTGGTGGTTGGTCCCGGGATTATCGGATGACTCAATAAGTGAACCTGAATTCCGGATTGGGGGGAGGGGAGAGGTGACACGCCACACCAGCCCATCTCATTCCTGCTTCGAGCCCAGCCCCCCACCCCGCACCCGGACCAGACCTCCCCTGGGATCGGGGCCCACACGCCCCAAACAGGTCATCCAACCAGAGCGCCCCCCCACGCCCCTTTCTCCAACATTCTCTGGGGATGTGACGGCCCCGCCACCGGCAGGCCACCTTGGCCCCGCAGCAGCCCCTCGCCAAGACCACAGACCAGGCGGCTTGCTCTTCCTCCAGGCCCAACACCCCAGGCTGCAGCCGAGGAACAGGGGTGTGAGAAGACCCCGATCCTATTTGAAATAAAAGAAAAAATACAAGTCACTCCTTGTGCAACAAGTATTTTTATTATTATGATTTCTATACTGAATGTCAGAATGAGGTTTTACTGCATTGCGATCATTGATCAGCAGCAGAGGAGGGCCGTAGTGATCAATAATAAATGGCCTGTACTTATATAGCGCTTTTTCAAGTCAGGAGACTTGACCATTTTACACTACATTCAGTCAGTCACCCATTCACACACATGCTAATGGTGGTAAACTACAATGGGGCTAACTGACAGAAGAAAGGCTACCATACTCTAGCACCATTAACCAACATCAGTAGTTAATGTGGGTGAAGTGTCTTGCCCAAGGACACAACAACACTGAAAGCCAGCTTGAACCGACAACCTTCTGATTGCAGGGCAAACTCCTGGACCCGACGCCACTGCTGCCCCAAATCTACGTACTGTGCCTGAATGTCAGAATGATGTTTTACTGTATTGTGATAATTGATCAGCAGCAGAGGAGGGCTGTAGTGATCAATGTAGCCATCCCACATGATGGAAACATCAGGAAAAAGGAACATGAGAAATTGGAGTAATGCCAACAGCTACTAGAGTGAACCTTAAAGGTGAAGGTAATGGTAATGCCCATGGTCATTGGAGCAGTGAAGTAGTGGTTCCAAGGGTAACACTTTGAGATGAAAGTTAAAGAAACTCTACCAGGGTGGTGGCTGAGTCACCTGTAGTTACATGACCCATAGGGTTTTGTTGAC